TTTATGTGTTTATAGCTATGACCAATTAGGTTATAAATATAATAAAAGTATCTGACTAAATGCTTTGCTTAAGTAATTAAAATAATTTTTTCAAAAATTACAACAACAAAGTGCGCAGTTCGTTTAGACGCACTTTGAAAAATCTAAAATTTTGTCTTATTTACGTTTCGTAGAAAACTTAATCGTTTCTAATATTAATCTATCAACAAAAACGAGTAATTACTGAGGGTTTTAGAATTTTCCATCAAGTTTTTCCAGAGATTTTCCTTCATTAAAGTTTTCATGTTGCAAAAATTTTGATAAATTATTTATCCAATAATTTTGCGTTAAATTATTATTCTTTTAACTGATTTCCATAGATAATTGTCCATAATATTAGAAAATTAACAGATATTTAAGCTTTCTTCTAAGTATAAGGCGAAAATATGTGAAAAATATAATTATGGTGAAAAATTTCCACCACTCTCATAGATTAATCAACAAATTTTGACAAAACTGTAGATACCATAATAAATTTGAATAGACCAGCTTATTTATCGTATTAAACTTAGTTGAAAACAGAAAACTGCACAGCTCTATGGCTAATGGAACTTGAAAATTTTACTGAAAAATTAAGTTGTGGTGAAAAAAATTCACCATAGAAAAATAAAATTTTAAAAAAACAATGTCTAAGGTTTTAATTCATGTTTTAAATTGATTAATTTTGAGACAGAAACACTTTTACAACCTAATTTAAATGAAACAATTGCCTAAAACAACGTTTTTTAAAATTTTATTTTTCTATGGTGAAATTTTTTCACCACAACTTAATTTTTCAGTAAAATTTTCAAGTTCCATTAGCCATAGAGCTGTGCAGTTTTCTGTTTTTAACTAAGTTTAATACGATAAATAAGCTGGTCTATTCAAATTTATTATGGTATCTACAGTTTTGTCAAAATTTGTTGATTAATCTATGAGAGTGGTGGAAATTTTTCACCATAATTATATTTTTCACATATTTTCGCCTTATACTTAGAAGAAAGCTTAAATATCTGTTAATTTTCTAATATTATGGACAATTATCTATGGAAATCAGTTAAAAGAATAATAATTTAACGCAAAATTATTGGATAAATAATTTATCAAAATTTTTGCAACATGAAAACTTTAATGAAGGAAAATCTCTGGAAAAACTTGATGGAAAATTCTAAAACCCTCAGTAATTACTCGTTTTTGTTGATAGATTAATATTAGAAACGATTAAGTTTTCTACGAAACGTAAATAAGACAAAATTTTAGATTTTTCAAAGTGCGTCTAAACGAACTGCGCACTTTGTTGTTGTAATTTTTGAAAAAATTATTTTAATTACTTAAGCAAAGCATTTAGTCAGATACTTTTATTATATTTATAACCTAATTGGTCATAGCTATAAACACATAAAATAGTTTTTGTCTTAATAGTGTTTATTAAAGGAAAATTTGAAAAAAATTAAGTGCGTCTAAACGAATTGCGCGCACCTTATCCTCTCATTCCTATTACGTTTTGACTTAAAAGTAAATAATTTTTGAATATTAAAATGATTAAATTTGAATCTTTGAGTTTCGATAAAGATTTGTTTACATTCTCACATCAGCATTTTGCATCTCAATTTTGAACTGATTGCTGTTTTATATACAATCTTAGTGATTGTAAAGTTTAAGTTATGAATGAGCAAAGATGTTTTTAGCATTTAATTCCAAAGAATTTGCTTAATTAACTCAAAATCAACAAATTTTGAAAATATTTGTAAATAAACTTAAAAAGTGCGGGGAAATTTTGAATATTTAACGGTTTTTGTTGAATTTTATAACTTCTTTGTTCAACTTGAGAAGAATTTTAATATTATGTACCCTTCTCTATAAAAAGAATTCAACTTTTTTTGTAAATAAATAATTCATAAACAAGTATCACCAAAAAAATATAAATAAATCAAAGCAAAAAAATCCTTAGAATTAACCTAATTCCTTGTAAATTCAACACCAAAAACTTAATTTAAAAATTAAATCATCGACACTGTACAAAAAAAGTTGCAGCAACAATACTAATAATGGTTTTTTGACTGTACTCAAAATTCATACAACATGTGGTTGGAGCAGACAAAAAAAAGTAAACTTTTTACTCCTTCTTCCCATAAATTTATGTAAATTTATATACTTTTTGTGAGAATTAGAAAGAAGTAGTGCTTGAAAGTCGCTCAAAATCACTCAAGGGAGTGTTAAACATTCCTTTTTATATCCATTACAATAACAATGTTGTTTAAATCTGAAAAAAAGTGCATTGCTTTATTTTACGATATAGCTAGAGCTTATAATGAATGTCAAATGTGTGAATATCGATAAACTTTCACTTTCAATATAAAATTGTTGACTCATACACAGCATCCACTTATATTTGTGTTTGTTAACTGCCATACACAGTCATTTAGTGATTTTCGTGTTGTAAAATGTAGAAATTTGCATAATTACGAAACATTTTGTTGGGCTTGTTTTTGAATTTTTTAATTTATTTCTTTCTCTTGAAAATTGTTTGGGGGACGTTCGGAAATGACGTCCAATTTTGTGAGAGTCTGAAGCTGTGAGACCCTCAAAATAAATGTTTTTAGAGGAATTTCTGGTTCAGAAACTATAAATTTTCAAATGACGTAACTTATCAATGACCCCTCTCCCCCCCCCCTCCCCCGATGGGAATAAAAAATTTACATCAGTGCAATATTAGTGCTTATTAAAATGAAGAAATATATAATCTGCAAAAAATAAGAGAATTGATGAATACTCTCTGATAATTAACTGTGAATGAATAGAGGCAGTGCTAATTAACATTATGGGCTAGTAGCTTGCATAATTAGATTTAGCTAATGTGAGATAATTGAATCGAATTATAATTGAGTTTACAAAATGCTTACATTTTGATTGAATTTCAAGTAAAGTTTACTTTCGGAATTAAATGAATTTTTTGTGGACTTAGACATTCGAGAGGAACTTAACATACGCGTACGCAACTTTGACGGTCTTCTTCGAGTATTTGCTCTTGAAATTTTTTTTATGATAAACTTCGAGGATTTCCTTCAAAGCCCTTCAAAACTTTTTTTTTTTGTTATCAGCCTTGAACCTTCCACGTCTATCCATTTAAATTTATTGCTACACGCGACTTGCCGCACTTTTGAAAGAGCAAAATCAGCATTTTTTTATGTTTTTCTTTTTTTCTCCGACTTTTTTTTTATTTTATTTTTCTGTGTCACTTTTATATTGATACAATATGTTGAAAGCAAAGCCACTTTAAGTCAGTGGTATATTGGGCAATATTTAAATGTCACCCTCCTCGACTACAGCTAATTTAAGTCAATATATCTCTATCTTCTTATTTTATCAATGTTTCTGCCTATTTTACGTCACTCTGTACTGACCTCAACATGATTTACATACAAAGTCATTCAGAAGACACAAATAAAATGCTGAAAAGAAGGAAAAGTGCTCGCTTTTTGGATCTTTAGGCTATAATATGTTAATAGAATTGAAAAGTTGAAAACTTCCATTCGTATCGTTTCCGTCAGCATTCAGTTGCAACATTATAAAGCCCATAAATCATCTTGTGTGACAGTATCCAAAGTTTGTATGCTATTTTATATAAATATACACAATTGACTATGCTTGCTGTTGGTCAGGGGTGTAGCTAGGGGAATTAATATCTTTTGATGATACCAGAAGTTGAATAAAGGGTTCTAAGGACCCTTTTTGCCGACTATTAGAAGCAATTTGTAAGGAGAACCGATTAATACTCTTCTTGAGTACCAGAGGCTGATTTTTAAGGCTATCAGAGTTACCAAACCTTATTATAAATAAACAACTGACTTTGAGCAGGTTAGGGTACCTCAGGTACCTCCAACAATCAGCCTAAGAGCGAATAAATTCTTCAATAGGTTTCGAAACTTCAATTCTACATTGCTAAGTGCACCCCTGATGCACCCCTGTTGCATACACAAGCAAGGAATATGAAAAATTCTCACAGTAATGCGAGGGACTATTGATATTGAAATTCATTAAAAATAATTTCATTTTTCTTGCTATTATAATGTACATAAGATATTTTTTATATATATACATTACGAATGAAAGAGATTCAGAACAGCGGGCGCTGAAAGAAATAAGTAGAGAAGGCAGTGGTATTAAGGGAATTTATACACCTTCGCAAGACATAAAAAAATCTCATTCTGTTTTTTTTCTCAGCACATTTTTATTGTGTGTATATATATACATACTTTACGTATTTTCAATGACTAACATGACATTTTTCTTTTCTTTATTTCCCCTTTTTTATGTATGAACGTATACACAATACATATATAACCATAAATCTTGTACAATAAACATGAAAAAAAGATAACAAGTCCTAACATTCACACACAAAAAAATAATAATAGCAAAAAGCAACTAACATAATTTTCTCACATCAGCAATGATATGGTAAATGGTTATTTTATAATGTGTTTTTGTTTCTGCTGTTGCTAATTTTATTTCGCTTACCGCCCTTGTATGGAATTTTATGTTGAATATTTGCCTCGCCTGGAGACATTCTGTGTAAGTTTCTTGAGCCTTAATCTGAGATTTTTTTAAAAAGTCAGATGAGGGTATCCAGTGCTTCTCAAACTATGATCCACGATCCACTACTGCAGTGTTTCTCAATATATCACTCGTACAGCCGAGTCCCAAGGAGCAACGTTTGAGAAGCACTGCATTGTTGTTTTTGAGAACCACTGGAGCATCCTAATACCTTAGATCCACCACTTAAACTTAGGATTACATACAGCATAAATATTCAAAAATTCTCATACAAGGGAGTCACCAATCCAATCCCCCCCAGCCCCACGTCATTCATCCAGTCTATTGTTTCATCTCCTCATTCCGTTTTGTTTCATTAATCCATCCATTCTCGTTTCTATTTATCTATTTCATTTATTTATTATTATTATTGTTATTATTGCCAGAACCAAGAAAAGTATTGCCCATTTTGAAGACAGATGAGCCCATTTGTCCAGAAGGAAAATTGTCATGTGGTAATGGTGAATGTATAGAGAAAGAGCTATTTTGTAATGACAAGCCTGATTGTAAGGATGAGTCTGATGAAAATGCTTGTAGTAAGTATAGAATCTACACATAACGTATTGTTAATACCTGTCTATTCATCCTACTCCCCTATTGTACAGTCGTTTTATATTTTATATATCTACTCGAATCGATTAAAGCCACAGTACTTGATATAATATATGTATCGTGTCTAGTCGAGACGAGAGAGAGTGAAATATAGAAAATATTTGTATGAAGATCTATGGATGATTGGACGACTGTATACACTTGTGTTTATTTGTAAAATTTATACTAACCAATTACTCTTCTTCCTCTCCTCATTCTGCCTTTCCATAGCTGTTGATTTAGATCCAAATCGTGCACCTGATTGTGATCCAACACAGTGTGTATTACCTGATTGCTTCTGTTCAGCTGATGGTACACGAATTCCAGGCAATATTGAGCCATCACAAGTGCCACAAATGATTACAATCACATTTAATGGAGCAGTTAATGTTGACAATATTGATTTGTACGATGATATTTTCAATGGACAACGTAACAATCCAAATGGATGTCAAATTCGTGGAACATTCTTCGCATCACATAAATATACCAATTATTCAGCTGTACAAGATTTGCATCGTCGCGGTCATGAAATTTCAGTATTCTCGCTTACACATAAAGATGATCCAAAATATTGGACATCGGGTACATACGATGACTGGTTGGCAGAGATGGCTGGCGCCCGTTTGATTGTTGAACGCTTTGCCAACATTACTGATGGTAGTATTATTGGCATTCGTGCTCCTTATTTGCGCGTTGGTGGCAATAAACAATTTGAAATGATGGCAGATCAGTTCTTTGTTTATGATGCATCCATCACTGCATCATTGGGACGTGTTCCAATTTGGCCATATACACTCTACTTCCGTATGCCACATAAGTGTAACGGAAATGCACATAACTGTCCATCTCGAAGCCATCCAGTATGGGAAATGGTTATGAATGAATTGGATAGACGAGACGATCCAACATTTGATGAATCATTGCCCGGTTGTCATATGGTCGACTCATGCTCAAACATCCAAAGCGGAGAACAATTCGGTAGACTTTTACGTCACAACTTCAATCGTCACTACAATACCAACCGTGCTCCATTAGGTCTCCACTTCCATGCATCATGGCTTAAATCCAAGAAAGAATACCGTGAAGAATTGATTAACTTTATCGAAGAAATGTTGGGACGTAATGATGTTTTCTTTGTCACAATGTTACAAGTCATCCAATGGATGCAAAATCCAACTGAATTGAATTCACTCAGAGATTTCCAAGAATGGAAAGAAAAGTGTGATGTTAAGGGTCAACCTTATTGCTCACTTCCTAATGCCTGCCCACTAACAACAAGAGAACTCCCAGGTGAGAGAATTGAATAATGCAATATGCTATAGTTGCTATTACATAGCCTGTTTCTTGCTTGCTTGCTTGCTGCTGTTGATGTTTTTCAATTACATGAGAGCTAGCAGCACAGAAACAGCAGCGACTGTTGACTATTTTCACAATTTAAAATTCAATATTTAATTTTCTATTTAACAATGACTATATTTTATGCTTCTTTATTTGCTTTCAGGCGAGACATTACGTTTATTCACATGTATGGAATGTCCTGATACATACCCATGGTTACTCAATCCAACAGGAGATGGTTTTGTAGCTAAATAAAAAAATATATTTTGTAGCAATTTAGAAAATAGAAACTTTTTCCCATACACAATTTTACATTGTTATCCCTCCTTCCTCCCCCTCAAACCTTTTTGTTTAATTCCATAGAGTTCTTGTAGTTTTTATACTTTTTGAGATTCAGAAAAAAATTTTTGTTCCGTACTGAAAAAATATATTTTTTGTAATAACAAGCACAAGAAAGTCTATAAATTAATGATGAAAATAAAAAACAAGATTTTTTGTTTTGAAATAAAATCAAAAATAAAAGAAAAAAAAATATCGAAAATAAAAAATTTCATTGTCTTTCAATTAAAATATTGAGTTCAAGTGGCACAGCTTCTCTCTCTTTTTTTACAGAATTCATTAAAAATAATGGAAACTTGTTTTCCGGTCATTGCCTAAGTTAATGTATTAAGGAAGAGAATGAACAGTGAGGTGGAAAAATTTGAGAATTCAGTACAGGTGAGTGACTTTATAGAAGGGTTTATTGAAGTAAATAAAAATCTTGTTGCTTTTGCTGATGCTACAAAGAGTTAAAGGAGATATTTGCAGTAATGAAAAAATGGACTTTTGTAGGCTTTTTGTGTTCTGCTTGTAATTGACAGTGTTTATTAAATCTTCAGAAGCTGAAGCGCAGTTTAATGTCGGCTTGAATATAGAGCTTAAGTTTATTGTGGGATCGGATCTACTCCTTAGATGACATTTCTGGCTACAGCCTACAGAGGAGGGCATTGAAGTTCAATTCCAGGTCGTATGATTTGAAAAAGGACATGCAAAAAAATTTTTCCATGCCGAGTCTCGAACCCATGAGCGCTATGTCAATATTGCAATAATTATGTACTGAAGTACTAAACCATTCCGTCACCGAGTCACTTCAACACATTCAACTCAAGTTGACTTATTACTTAATATAGAAAAAAACAACATTTTAGATACCATTCCCCAGTAATAATTATGTTACTAATACAAACATTAAGCATTGAATATTGTCAACCGTATTTGATCTATTAAAATGCAATAACAAAGCCTTAATTCCACCAAATCCGCCTAATTAGTCTAATAACCAAAATTAATGAACAAAAGTGCGACTTTAAAATTTTAAAGCCCTCATTCCGTTGAATTTCCGCATTAATCATTATATTTTCGCCTAAATCCTTTATTTTAAAAAATGCTAATTAGCAAAAATGCAAAAAAATAATTTTAAATCCCATTGAAAATTTGAATCAGAACAAAGTTTTTTATATTCACACCGTTTTCACGTGTGAATGTTTTGTTTTTGTTCAGATTGAAAAATCAGTTTTTTGAATTTTGTGAGGATATGGAGCAAGATAGCTTAAAATGTTCAGACATGAAATGTTTGAATTTCACATCTTTTGCAAAAAACAGATTCCAAATTAGTTGGGGCATTGCTGAGAAAATCGCAAAATATGCTTTCTGTAAGCAAGCAAACAAGCAAACAAGTAAGTTAATCAGCAAGAAATCTCAATAACGAGACATTGTAGAGACTTTTGGTTTTTTACATTTGATTCGTGCTGCTCTATAGAAGAGCTGTATTGTTTTTGGGCAAGGTAGGAACAGCCGTTGCTTCAGAAAAAGCAAAAAACTTTCCTTTCTTACGAATTTTTCAACTTAAAAGTTCATTGTGATTTTTTTTTAGGCTAGGGGCGACCCTAGTCAAAATCAATTTTCTCACTTTTTTCTTCTAGGGTTTATCCAAATGGATTGAAACTTTGCATAAATATTCAAATGCTTAAAACAAATACAAATAAAACATCCTAAAATTTTTTTGAGCAAAGAACCAAGTAGGAAATACATTTTCAATTTTGGACTAGGGGCGACCCTTCGATAAACCTTCGAAAAAAAATGAAAAACTAGATTTTTACTAGACCTGTTCCAAGTTCATAAATGAAAATGTATTTCCTACTTGGATCATTCCTCAAAAAAATTTTAGGATGTTTTATTTGTATTTGTTTTAAGCACTTGAATATTTATGCAAAGTTTCAATCCATTTGGATAAACCCTCGAAGAAAAGATGACAAAATTGCTTTTGACTAGGGTCGCCCCTAGTCCAAAATTGAAAATGTATTTCCTTTATTTATATGTATTGACATAATTCTGACATAAATCACATACCAATATTACTTTTTGTAATGCATAGCTTAAAAAAAATCGAAATCTAAAATTTCGACTACTCCATCTGAATTTTGTACATACTCTTCACTGTGGAAACCAAAAACAAATTCTTTATCTTAAAACACTTGACAAAATAGCGACATAATTCAGGATTAATCAGCTACACTGGTTCATAGTGTTCCCGAGGGTGACAAACTTCAAACTAAGTGTTTTTGTAGCTGACATAATTATAACATAAATTAGGTATAACTTTTGAACTGTGTCGATATGGGTCTCGGCCGTACTTCATGCCCACCCTTCAAACTTATGCTGAGCAAATCTTGGTCTTTCCATAAGACTTTTGGTGGTACGGTGTGAATATATCCGCATTGGGTTTCTACCCGATACACTAGTTCTACCTTTAATTAGCAAGCAATTATTTTATGAAAAACATTTTCATCAGCCTTTTTCCACTGTGCAAAACAAAATTTTCATATTTTCATTAAAAAAAATTGTTTAATTCAACATAAGCACAGCACAAATTAAATCTTTCCAAAAAAAAGAGAAAAATCTAATTGGTGCTTTTGCTTCATTATTTTCAAATTTTTATGCAATTAATTGTCTCGAGCATAATCTTCAAGTTGTCTAATTATTAAATTTGTGTGCCGTACATTATGGTAATCATAAATTTTCAAGTCTATTGCCGCAAAGAGTCCTACATTTATGCTATAAATTGTATTTGTAGACTAGAGCCCGAGTGGCACATGATTTGCTGAGTAGAAGGGGGGGGGGGGTGGTGCTTGTATGGATGATAAAGGAAGAGAGTTTATAATTTATCTACCTTTATGTCACTCTCCTGACATGTCAAATCACTTATATCCAAGGATTCTGTCCATATGGTCAATATTTCAACGTGTGCTGTAACAGAACCTTAATCAGCCCTCAATGTCCTTCAATACAAATTTTCCCTCGACATACTCTCATTTCAAAGCTTTCTCTCCTCCGTTGTGCAGCTCGGGAAGTGGGTTTAAAAGTTCAGGAATGACACTCAATTGTACTACTTTCATATTCCCTAGTTAAAGCAAATCTTAATTCAATGATGTTAATTATAACAATTTTCCAAGCTGTAAGTCGAGAAAAAAATAAAGTTTTTTTTATCAAATAAATGCTAAATTAAAGAGATATAATGACGCACAGAAATCGTATGGAACGGATGGAGGGGAAAAATTCCTTTTTATTGCTTAATGAGCACAGAGGAGTTAGTCGTGTTAAGAAAGAAAAAAGAAAAACTTTCTTGTGTCGTTAAAACTTTTATTTTGTTTCTCTGCTTAACATTTATTTTTTTGCTCAACTAATGTTGCTGTTCGTTGCTTTAGTTTTGTGTGATGGACATTAAATTCCCGTGTGACGGCAATCTTTAAATTTCATGTCATCACGGGCAACATTGAATCTCGATAGATGGGAAAAGTAGCATCAAATAATGAGGAAAATTTGAAAGATTTTTAAGAACTTCTTGGTTTTGTAAGGATTGAGGATGCTAGTTCATGAATATAAATGAATAATTGGGCAGGTTAGGATAGCTTGATGGGGTGGTTAATTTTGGATCTGGCATAGTATAAACCTTTAGTATTAAAAGCATTGTATTAACCATTCATCAGGATTCGAGTCACAATGGAACTTTTATAATTTCACCTTGGGTTGAGTCATATTCAGAGGTATAGCCGTGATTGTCAGTGAATTTCCTGAAGTCTTGCGTTCCAGACTACTCAAGCTCCTCTACTCTTTTGTTTTTTTAAACCCTATTCACACTCTTAATAGAAGAAATCAATGGATAGAATTTGTCAGCTTTCAAATCACTTTTAACTTAGTCATATCATCTATAATACCCATCGTGGAAGTAGAAACAACTCTAATATAGGAACGAAAGAGTTTTGACAAAACTGAAATTAAAAGATGCGATGAAGAGAAAATTTAATCTTAAAAAGGCTATTGAACTAAAAAAGGGATCTTGTCTGAATATAGTAAGAACATTTCATAATTTTGAAGCGTATTTTATATTAAGCTGTTGGTATCTCCTTCGATATTACAAGTAATTTTAAAGACTGAATGAGTGTGTGGCAACATTTTGCCTTTTCTCCATTCAATCTTCGCTTCATCGCATTTCCTCGACTCGTTCCATCTTTTCGCTTCCCTCATTTCTTGCTTTTGCCTTTAACTTATACAAAAGGATGACATTAAGTTTTTAAGATTGTACAACATCTGTGAGCTTACGAGAGCAATTTACAAAACATAAAAAAATGTCTTCATAATTTTTAGTGTATGCTTTCTCCTTTATAAGTATTTACTTCTTTTTTCCTCCTTCATATTTCTGCTACTTTCGAATTTCAATCGCAAAACTCTTTCGTACGATGTACGACACCCTTGGGAAAATTTTCGGCAGATCTTTTTTCTAAGAATTTTTCTCATGAACATTCTTTCATTATGATAAAAGCTTTTTATTTACTTTATGACTGCTGGATCATGTTATGAGATTTTTGGACGTTAAAAGATCAACTTTTGTTGAACTTTTTTTTTGGAGAAATTGCTTTGGTCAAGGCTTTATTGGGAATTCGAGTGATTAAAGGTGTAGGTGGAGTTAAAAAGATTGTTGGAGATTCTTAGCTAATCAATATAGATTGAGGAGCCTTGCTTGAAATTTACTATGGAATTTTGGAAGTTCTGTTTTTTTTACAAGTTTGAATGTTTGATGATGCTTAAATTTTGAAAACTAGGTGAAATTTTGATTTCTTGGCAGCTTATTAAGATGACAAAAATTATTTTCTAGCTTTTTGTGACATATTTGCGTTTGGCTAATGGTTCATGACTTGATTGTGTTAAATATATTTAAAATTAGATGTTTGAATCAAAAATCATTGAGATATTTAAGTGTAGCGTCGTAATAGGGTTGAATATAAAGTATCGAGTCATATATTGTTGAATTTGCTAGTTATAGGATAAAGTCTCGGTGTTCGAGTGATTAGACAACAGATCAGTAATCTAAGACCCTTTTTGTTATGAAGACTTGCGTTCGAATCTCAACAAAAGTTGATCTCTGTCGACATGACAAAGATTCGATCTAAAACCAAGACATTTAAATTAAATAAATCACATTTATTAAGATGTATTAATTCCA